GCTGACTGAGCCCGAGACAACTTGTTGTGGGGCTCTCCATAATCCCATGATTCAATTCCGCCAAGAAAACCCCACTTAACACCTGTATCTATTCTGTTGGCTCTGTCTCTCTGAAGAGCACTAACACAGCAGGAAACTTTCAGGTCAAAAATATAATCATGACTGCAAAGGGAAATCTTGGAAACTTTTACCTATAGTAGTTATTGCTAGTGGCATAGGCACAATTATGTAACTAATATGTGTATATTTTATGATAATAAAAGTGAGTAAATATATACATTGAGTTTCCATTGGGAGTATCAGAATTCTCAAAAAAAACTACTGGGTCATCTCTAAAGAAAACAGGAATGGTCTTGAAAAGCATCAAAAAGAATTTTGGTAATAGACACTAAATTTTTTAATATCTGTAAGTCCACAGTGAAACTCAGAGAGAATGGAAAGTAGAGTTCTTTTCTGCAGAAGATTTGCAGTAAGTATAAAAGAAATAAAATAACTTAAAAATCACATTTAAGCATCCCCAAACATAAATAATTTGATTCAGGCAAGAATTATTAAAAAATTATCAATGGATGCAAAAACTATTAGGGGAAAGTTTGTTGAGAGATATTAATATTCACCTAGTCTCAAATCATCACATCAAAGATTACTTTCTACCTCTACTGGAGAAAATAAATTTACAGCATAGTGATTTGCCATTGTGTTAGTCAGCTTTGAGTTATTTTAACAAAATACCCATAGTGCGGGGCTGGAGTTGTAGCTCAGTAGTAGAATGCTTGCCTAGCATGTGTGAGGCACTGGGTTAAATTCTCAGCACTGCATACAAATAAATACATAAAATAAAGGCCTATCAACAACTAAAAACATATTTTTAAAAAATACCTGCGGTAATTAACTTTCTAAGAGAAAAGTTTTAACTGGGCATGGTGGTGCACACCTGTAATCCCAGCTACTTGGAAGATTGAAGGCCAGCCTGGGCAACTTAGACCTTGTCTCAAAATTACTTTTTAAAAAGGACTGTGGATGTAACTCAGCTGTAAAGTGCTTGCCTGACATGTACGAGGCCTTGAGTTCAATCCCCAACACCACAAGAGAGAGAGACAGGCAGACAGACACTAAGTTTTATTTTGGCTCATGGTTTGGAAGGTTATGGTCTAAAACTGGGTGACCTGGATGCTTTGGGCCTCTCAGCAGGATGACACATTGTGGTGAGAACAGGTGATGGAGCAAACTACTTCAATCACCAGCCAAGAAGCAAAGAGAGGCTCAAAGCCTGGGGTCCTCCAATCCCCTTCAAGGACATGCCCCAAAGACCTAAAGACCTCCCGCTAAGCCCCAACTATTAGAGGTCCACAGCACTTCCCATACCACCATGTTGGGGACCAATTCTTAAACACATGAATTTTTTAAAGACACTAACCTTACTAATCCCAGACTTGAGGCAGTAAGAAGTTCACATTGCCTCTGGTTGTTATTATTGCCCAAAATGAAGAAACAGAATGTGCAACATTCTATAAAACTGTYGGCCTAGGCTCTTTAAAAAGCCAAAGAGCCCAGCATGGTGGTGTACATCTATAATCCCACTACTCAGCATACTGGGGTAGGAAGATTGATTACAAGTTGGAAGCCAGCCTTGGTAATATAGAGACTCTGTCTCAAAGTAAAATAAAAAGGGGCTGGGGGTGTAGTTCAGTGGTAGAACACCCCTGGATTCAATGTCCAGCACAAAAGAAAAAAAAAAAATCCTTGTCAGTGTCAGCCTGTTTTGAGTCTAAGCCCTTACCCTCTACACCACACACAGGGAGTAAAACAAAGTCCAGGCCTTTGCAGAACTTCCATTTTGGAGGAAAGTGAAGTCTGAAAACTACTAGGACACAGTTTGTGTTTTCAACACTATAACCTAAAGATCTGACCAGAACAATGTAGAGGAAGAAAAGTATATTTGGGGCTCATGGTTTTCGAGGTCTCAGTCCACAGGCAGCCACCTCCATTGTTTTGTGCACAAGGTGAGGCTGAACATTGTGGCAGAGGAAAGCAGCTCAGGACATGACAACCAGGAAGCAGGCATTCCCCTCACCATCTAAAATGCAAAAGGCATACCCTCAATGACCCACCTCCTCCAGTCACCCCCTACCTGCCTACAGTTACCACCCAGTTAATCCCCACCAGGGGATTAATGCATTGATTAGAATGAAGGCTCTTATAACTCATTATTCCACCTCTAAATTTTCTTGCATTGCCTCACACATGAGCTTTTGGGAGATACTTCCTACCTAAACCATAAAGATTTATGATAGATAAATATTAGTTCCTCTTTTCTTCCTCCAATTCCATAGCTAAAAAGGAGAATTACATAAAATAAGAGGAAGAGAATCAATCTGCATACTACCCTTTCAACTCCTTCTCTCCTTAACTCTTACTCAAAAAAAGATACCAGTAGCAGGGAACCAGTCGAGAGGGGACAGTCACCAACCCCTTCATCCCTAGGTCAGTGCTCCTCCAACTTAGGCCTCAGAATCGCCTGGAGGGCTTGTCATACAGTTTGCCAGGACATTCAGCATTCCTGATTCAGTAGGTCTGTGAAACCACTGAATTTGCATTTCTCATAACCCCCCACACCCACCCCATGATGCCGATTTCACTAGAGGACCATATATAACAACCACTGTCACATAACAGCTCCACAAACAGGTGACTATTCTCATTATAAACATGAGGAATCTGAGCCTCAGGAAGGCTGTGTTCCTCACCAGAAACTACAGAATGAACAAGTGACAGAATCAGAATTCAAACTCAGATCTGCCTGACTCCAAATTCCATGCGGGTTCCACTACATCTGAGTCACAGATGTGATATTTTAGGATTCCCCCATCTCATGTCTGTTCCCTTTATTTTAGAATTTCTATTCCTGAAAGGCAGTCATTGTTGTATGTGTGTTTATTTTCATTTCCAGAGAGAACAGAAGATGGACTATAAAAGCTGTTCTGAAATGTTGCTGTCCATTTGCTCAGTGATTCCTCTTCAAGAGGTCTACGAGAATGGCCCAAAACATGGCCTAAAACACAAGGATGATAAGTGCTTTAGCAAAACACTGAGAATTGAAATATCCAGTATAAAAGAACTGGTTAAATAAATTATGGTACATCCAAATGATAGAAATGATGAAGCCATTATAAATTATTTATTTAGAATTTTTATAACATGTCAAAGTATTTATCATATAATATTAAGGCAGAGCTATAGAACTAAATTCAAGAAGCTTTCAGTGTTATGAAAAATACTGAAAAAAAAAAGACTAGAACGAAAAAAACTAGAACACTAGTAACAGTTGCCTCTGCTTCCGATCATTTTCTGAACCTTCCGCACTTTCTACAATGAACTTCCCTAGTCAGAAAAACCACATTCTTTTTGTTGACTAAATGCTTTGAAGACTTTTCTACAGTTAGTCAATTCCTGAATCACGAGGAAAACCAAAACTGTGAATTTTAAAGCTAATATTTAATTCCAGATTACATCTTCCCTGATGCCAGGATATACATTTTAAGTAGGAAAAAACTTGAATAACAATCATTTTTTAAATTTTACTTTCACTTGTTCTTTAACAACTATTATTATAAATAAACACAAAGACCAGAAAGATAAACCTGTAAAAATAATAACAGAGATTAATTTGGTTAACAGAATTATATGGCTTTTTAAATCTCCTTTGCTTAACAACTCTTATCACATGTTCTACTAAATATCTACTACTTTCATAATAATTTTTAAAAAGTGTTTGCTTTTTGGGGGGGGGGCGGGGGAGCTGCGGGGGTACCGGGGTTTGAACTCAGGAGCACTCAACCATTGAGCCAAATCCCCAACTTTATTTTCTATTTTATTTAGAGACAGTGTCTCACTGAGTTGCTTAGCACCTCACTTTTGCTGAGGCTGGCTTTGAACTCACAATCCTCTTGCCTCAAGCAAATTACAGCACATCTATACAATATCATAGCCATTAAAAAAAAAAAAAGTTAAATCTTATATATTATTAGTTGATCATACTATAAAACAGTATGTTCAGAATGATCCCAATAATTCAAAAACAAATCAATGAAATGTGTAGGTATACACAGAAAATGCTTTAGTAAGAAATATTTATAGTATATCAGAACATTAATAGTGCTTCACTCTAGATGATAGAATTAAAAATTATTCTAATTTTTAGATTTTTTTTTCTGCATTTTGGTCAATTTTCCTCTATTAAATATGAATTATTTTTCAATATGCAAAAAGACCAGTTTATTAAAAAAAATCTAGAGTAAATAAAAAGTTACCTTGTTAAATAACAGAGACACAGAGACAAGAAAAAGCACCTCACTGAAAGTTCTCCAGCTCCACCCAGCTCCAGTGTTTGTAAAGAAGATGCTTGTCTTCCAGCGTGAGGACAGCATTCAGCATAAATCCTTTCTCCTGTTCTAGATTTCAGAGTGCTGAGCAGGGCACTGACTCTAGCAGTAGAGGCCACCCCTCCTGACAGGGCAAGCACACATCCTCTAGAACCTGTGTGGGCTCTTTGGGTTTTTGGTTGTTTATTGTGTTTCTATAGTACAAAACAAAGCCCTGGGAGTAGAACCCAGGGCTTTGCACCACTAGGCAAGTGCTCTACCACTAAGCTATATCCCCAGCCTCATCTGGAACCTTTATATAAGACCATGGTAGAGCAGAGCATCTGGGGGAATCTAATTACAAGTCAATATAACTACAATCATTTGATTAAGGAAATATACTATTTACATTGCAAATAACATACTAACTAGAGAATTCTACTCTCAGACCTGGCAGGACCTCCAAGGTCAACAGGAGACAATTTCCAGGACAGTCTTTAGAATGCTATGTAAATAGTGACTGGAAACAATAACAGAGATGTCATGCTAGAGAATCTTAAGTAAACAGTTCAAAGCCTAGCTTCCTGTTTATGCAATTTAAAGTCACTTTATTGCTAGCCACAAAGTAATTCAGCATTCTGATCTAATCTAAGAATTTCTTGACTTTCTATGATAAAAGGACTACAAAGAACAGCTGAAAAGTCAGAAGACGAAGAAGGAACAAAAATAAACACAGACATGTATCTTCCAGCCCAAACAATGAGAAATCTATGCAACTAGACCATCCGTTCAATCTATTTCCAGATCGCTGTCTTCACTGTGACAGGTGGCAGAGTTACGCACAGATGTCAGCACCAAGACTTCCTTTTCGGGGAGTAATCCAAATTCCTGTAGAAAAGCTTCAAGGTCCACAGCAAAGAAATCTTCCCCCAGCTGGTCAGTGATGCGCACAAAATTGCCAATCAATTCACCCCCCTTGTAGATCAGCAGGGCAGGAAGGGCATTCCGGGTAAACCGACTGCTGGCCCCGATGACCGAGCTCTTCACCCGACAGAATTTGACAGCTGGGTACTCCCCAGCCAGGCAGATCATGCAGCCATTCATGGCTTCAGTCCCTGGAATGCCATCCTCATAAATATGGACCATGATGAGGGTGCTTTTCTGTTCTTTATCAATCATGTCTAAAAACCCTTCTCCACTAGGGATTTCAAAAACCTGTTTGAACTGGGGCCCCTTGTGGAGCTGCTGCCGCATCTCTTCCATCCTCTGTTTCCGGTACTGCTGTAGAAATTCTTCATCATCTTGGTCCTCATTCATCATGGCAAACTCCTTCAGAGTCATCTGTAAGAGACCAGCAGGTAAGCAGACACAAGTGAACACTTTTGATAAATATTGATGTGCACCTTGTACTTAAAGATACATGCAGCACCACACTGAGCACTTTATGTGCATTATGTCTTAATAAGTTGTTGTATTTTAGGAGGGTTTGGGATTGTTTGGGGGTTTTTTGGTTTTTTGTTTTGTTTTGTTTTGTTTCAGAAAAGGAAGTCTTACTATGTCACCCAGGCCAGCCCGAAATGCCTGAACTCAAGCAATCCTCCCACCTTGGTCTCCCAACAAGCTGGGCCTACTTGTGTGAATGCTACCATGCCTTACAATAATCCCATTGGGAAAGGGATTTTATAATTCTCATTTTGCAAATGAGGTTTCAAGACTTATGTTAGCTGCACAATTCACACAAGAAGTATGTGTAAGACCAGGACTCAAACTAGATTTTCAACACCCTGGTTTATATTACACCATACTGCCTCTCAACCCAAGCAGGCAGCATCAGATAGTACCACTTCACTGAGCTATTTTCATTTTGTCAGTCTTGACAGTGGATTGCTTTATTCACTGTTTTGTTTTCATAAAAAATAACAGGACATTATGCAACTTCAAAAGAACACTTATAATCCCTGCCCTGCACAAAACACGTCTACACACAACAAACACCCACACATTCACATACACTCTAAAATTTTTCTTCTTATTATCAGTCACATGCTAGATTAGTTCTGCTCTTAAAACAGAAGCCATGGGTGTACCAATTAAGATATAACCTACTCGGTCTCTTAGCTAATGTTAATAATAAATTCTAAGTATCTCTTCATTTTTCTAAATAGTTTTATAAAATTATATATGTGTCATATTTTGCTTAACCACTCCCCTATTTCTGGCATTCAGGCAGTTTCTAGTTCTATTCAACTGTAGGTAATTCAGCAGGACAAAGATAGCCTCTCACTAGCTTGATTCATGTGGTCATGTGATTATGGCTTCGTTCTGGTCCTTCAGCCCAGGATAAGAAAGCAGCCAAGCAAAGCAGGCACACTGCCCAAGGGCCAGCTTACATCACAAGGCATCTTCCTTCTCCTTCCGGGGTGCAGCAAGACGCCCCTGTAACAAACCTTCACTAAGCCTAATCGTGTACAGATTAGGGGGTGGGGAATAGGGCCCACTCTAGGTCAGAACAGACATCATTACTGGGTCATACTTATTACCAATTTTCTTCCCATCACATAGCTCTCCACTCTATCTCAGCCAGCTATTTCTAACAGACCTATTATGGTCTTTGCCGACTTTCATGCACTGAAATCATCCTTCTGGTCAAGGTGAATGACTCCTGACTTAATGCTCCATGATCCTGGCTTGTGCTTTGGCTTTGGGCCACACCTAACTGATCTTGGGCACTCTTAGACTTTCTTCCATGTATGTGAGTAACACAGGCCCTTTAATACTGAGAAGGTATTAGGAAATGTCAGGGACTTGTTCCAAATATCTTCCAGAGGGCCTATCTGCTTCTACTCTAATGCCTCCTCAGAATAAATCCTTATGATAGGCTTCAAATGAAACACAGTAGCATCACAGAAAGAACAAGAAAATTTGAATTAGAATCTTAGTTCCTACGACAGAAAACTAACATTAAATGAGCACTTTTCAGTGGGCCAGTCACTACAATGGGCATTTTATCCACACAGTTCTGGGGTGGGCGTGACCTCAATAAACTAATCAAAAACCAAACTCAGAAAGGAAGAAATTTATTTCCCCACAATCATTAATGGCAGAGCTGAGAGTCAAACCCCAGGTGTGCCTGAGTTATGACATGGCTCTATATTTTCCCCTGTACTGCAAAGCTTCTCAGAGGCAAAACCAACATCCTCTATCTCCCAAATCACCAAGCCCAGTTCTAGTGGCCAGGGCAGCTTCTGAGAAAAGCTTAGGGCTGCTGATTACCTTCCCACTGATCTTTTCCTGGAGGTCCTTCTGTTTCTGTTGCTCCTCTTCTTCATCCAAATGGGACCTGCAGGTCATAGACAGCTTCTTGATCAGCCTTTCCATCTCCCGGCACTGCTCCTCTCTCTGCTCAGTTTCCAATTGCTTGTAGCGGCGCCAGTCATTGATCACACCTTTTGGACCTGAGTGACATGAACATGGATGTGACCAAAGATAATGAGCAAAGAATTATGGAGCAGCTCACATGTGCAGGTGGGAGCTCACATCTGTCTAAAGCTTGCACAACTAACACAGAACCTCCATGTACTATGACTAGTATAGCGATATAGCAGTACCATACAAGGTGCAATCTAACCTTCATTGCTTTCCTAAATATGCATCCTAAACACCCTCTTTCCCTTTCTCCGATATCGTCAAAATATTTCAGTCTTTTTTCAGCATTTATAAATCTTTTATGCAACTTCATATTCACTCCACCAAATGCCTTTGAAGAACTCCCATTTGTGATTAAAATATTTCACATCTTCTTAACTCTCTAGTGATTCTGATCAGATTAAAATTGACCATGTTCAGGACTTGGGACAGGTCGGGAAGGAAACTGCTTTTCATATCATATAACATAAAGGTATCCTTAGTTAAACTCAATACTTTCCTAAAAACCAGGCCTTACTTTGAAAATTGTATAATCATGTTATGGTAAATCATCATTTATTCATTAATTACATATGCATGAACATGTGGGATGGCGGCAAGCGTGGGTCTGAGCAATATCCAACTTAAAATATCTTAAGTTGAACCATTAGTCAGTCCTGTCTGTGGGACCTACTACTGCCCACCTTTCATGTTTGTGAAAATGAGGCACAAGGAAGTTAAAGCAGGAATTGTAGCTCTAGCCTAGCTTCCAGAGTCTTCAGTGTTAACAAGGAATTCTCAACAAACAAAACCTTCTACCATTTTTAGAGTTTAATTGCCATGTCTATGACCAAGGGCTTGATAAGCACTTTCAACTGAAATAGCACATAGCCCATGATAGGGCTACCTTCTTTTTTTTTTTTTTTATTAGTTGTTCACAACATTACAAAGCTCTTGACATATCATATTTCATACCTTAGATTGAAGTGGGTTATGAACTCCCAATTTTACCCCAGATGCAGATTGCAGAATCACGTCGGTTACACATCCACAATTTTACATAATGCCCAATTAGTAATTGTTGTATTCTGCTACCTTTCCTATCCCCTACTATCCCCCCTCCCCTCCCCTCCCATCTTCTCTCTCTACCCCATCTACTGTAATTCATTTCTCTCCTTGTTTATTTTCCCATTCCCCTCACAACCTCTTATATGTAATTTTGTATAGCAAAGGGAAATTGCATGGAAATGAAGGGCTACCATCTTACCAACTCTTCAGGAGATCCTTGGAAACATTTTACTATGAACAAAAATTGTTAACAGTACCCTGTTATTATTATAAAAGTTTTTAAAATTGAACTATAAGGGTTGGGGATAAAACTCAGTTGGTAAAGTGCTTGTCTCACATGCACAAGGCCCTGGGTTTAATCCCCAGCACCACACACACACACACACACACACACACACACACACACACACAAAACTGAACTATAAAACTTAGAGCTATTTAAAATGCTTCCATCCCAAATCATTATTGAAATGCTATAAAAACTAAAATTCTCACAGCTATATTTTATAAATCGAGAGCAATTTTCTGGGTAAATTTAACTGGAGAAAATCTATTGTTATATGAACATAATAATACTTATTCCTTTATCTCCTGACACAAATAATGCATGTGATTAAAACAGCATGATAGAGTATTTTTCTTTAAAACATTTTTCTTGGCTCAAGGAAAAAGGGCAAACTATTGAAATGACATATGGGATGTCCTTGTTTAAAAGATATCAATTTCTGACCACTAAAGGGAAGAAAGGGCAGGAAGAAGCTGCCCAGAGAAGTTCTGGGACTCACAGAGCAGAGATGCCAGGGGCTGGAAAGTGCACGAAACCTCTAGTTCTAACCCAAGTGTCTCTTACTTTTTATTTGTGCTCACTTCACTTTACAAAATTCACTATCAACAGAACCCAAAGATAAGAGCAATTCTACATAAGGCACTATGCTTCTATGTAAGTAGTATCCCTGAGATTTCACATCTCCACTCCCTAGATCCCAAGTGTTTGCTCTCCATGACCTTTAGCTGTGACCAGAAGGAGCTGCTGGGTGTGGAGGCTGCATGGCATGTGGTGAAGCACTCAGCTGCTACGCGGCCCGCCCTGCCCACTGGCCCAGCTTTTGCTTCCTGCACAAGAGATTATATAGATGAAGCCATAGAACACTCTGGAATCTCCAATGCCTTGCCCAAAGCTGCAACACCTCCTCCCCACATACTTCAGGGAGGGGTGGGAAGACCAGGAAAAGGATTCCTTCAGCTCAAAGTGAACCAAAGTCTACACTGGCTCAAGGGGAGCATCTCTGCCTATATTCTGTCAAGGGGAGCAAGTCCATGTCTACCTTGGCTTAAGGCAAGTAAGTCCCAGTCTACCCTGGCTCAAAGTGAGCAAGTATATACAGTGAGCAGTAGAGAGAGGTACAGTGGTATAGGCCTAGGAGAGGATAGAGGATGGCCAGTGAGCTCCAGCCTTTGCCCTGAAGCCAATCTCTAAAACAACCACACACACACCAAAAAAAAAAAAAAAAAATATATATATATATATTTTTTAATCTTTGAAACATCAATTTTATTATATAATCTGTGAAAAAAAAAGGAATTCAGAATAAATTTCTCCCAAAGCATAAGAGAAAGGACAAAGAGCAGAGAAGGAGAAAGTGTCCTAGGGAAAAGTCTCTATGATGTGTTTTGCAGTGGGGGGCAGAATAGACTCCTGGTGGATACAGATAAACTTCGGCCTGGAATCTGTGCAAGAAGCCTGAACCAGTAGGCACACCTCACTCCCACACCATGATGTCAAATCCAAGAGCTCAGGGTCCTCTGGCTGTCATTCAGTTCTGTCTGTCTTGGCTGGGCATTTCCATTAGAGCCACTCTTTTCCTGAACACTAGCAACCAAAGCAAGGTATGCAGCACAGTTGTTGAATGAATCTGGCAATCCTCCTCCTCAGCCTCTTCCAGCCTTTGCTGCTGTCCTGGGATTGCCCTGTGGAGGTGCCTTGGAAGGATGAGCTGCTGGGCACAGGGTCCTGCTGGGAGGCTAGGCTGGGAGGAGGTGTGTCCACATGGAGGATGCAGAGCTGAATGGCAGGCACACTGGCACTTCCAGGACCCTTGTGTGGGGACTGCTTGGTCTCCTCAGGCTGCTGCTACTCACAGGGCAAGGGAAGGCTCACTGCAATGCTTCTCAAGGCAGACTCTAGGAGGATCCGAGGGCCTGCCCCCTGGATTCTCTGGCACTGTAGCATGAGGTACACAGCCATCGTGATGTCAAATCTTCAACTTGCCACAGACACTCAGGTATTATAGGGGTGGAAACCCATGTTGATCACGATTTTTGTAATTATGGGATCTGGGAGTTTGGGAGTATCTCACTATAAGGACTAAGTGAAGCAGCTTCCTCACCCTGGCTCAACCATGGGTGCCCCATTACCTCTCTAGGTGGGTGGGCTTCTGCATGGGGTCCACTGTCAGGATTTCATTGATGAGGCTCTGTGTTCCCTTGGAAATCCATGGGGGGAATGTCATACATTCCCTGTATGATCAGCTTCTTTACCTGCTTATTGCTGCTTGCCTCAAATGGGCATTTCCCTGTGAGCATAACATAGAGAACGACACCCAGGATCCAGACGTATGGTGGGTGGGGTGTAGTGCTTGTATTCCTTCCCATGGATGACTTCAGGGACAACATTAGGACAGTGTCCCAGAACCTATTCAGCTTCTTCCCAGCTATGAATCTGGTGCTCAGGCCAAAGTCAATGAGTTTGGTGTTGCCGCTGGCATCCACCACCACATTCTCTGGCTTCAGGTCAGGATGCACATTATCCTTGTCCTGGCAGTACTGCATGGCATGGATGATCTGCCTAAATAGTTTGCAAGCCTCCTCCTCCTGCATGCCATCAGCTTTGGGGATGAGGTCCCATAGCTGTCCCCCACCTGCATGCTCCATGATAAGGTAGATATATTCCATGGTCTCGATGCCCTGGAAGAACTGGATCATGTTTCAGTGGTTCAAGGCCACCATCAGATCCAGTTCAGGTAGGAAGGGGAAGTTCGAGGCTACTTTTGCCAGGACCTTCATCACAACCTCTGTCCCAGTGAAGAGATGGCAGGCAAGTTTCACCTGGGCAAAGCCCCCTTCTCCAATGTCCTGCAGGACCATATAATGGTCCATCCATGGAGGCTGGCTCCTAATAGGAGCCCCACCCCTGCAGCACTACATTGCTCTAACTACTCTCACTGCTCATTCCTAAACTGGAACAAGGATGCGAGCTAAAGAAAAATAAATAAGGACCAAAAATAAAATAAAATAAAGCCCAAATCAAAAAAACAATATCCAAAGACCACAGCCACAAGCCACTAACAACCACCAAATGTGCTAAATATCTGGGAGTCCGACAGGTCACCACCAAGAGCTTCCTGTACTTACAGACAAAAAAACAAAACAAAGCAAAACAAACAAAACAGCTGCAGCCACCCTCTTATATATCTGCTGTTTGAAATTTCCTCACAATGGCTCCTTGTGAGGTCAGAGTAAGAAATGACCCAGTCACACCTGGACATAACCCCCAGAGGTCTTCTCACTTTTGGATCTCCAGGACCTTTTCCACTTTCAAAATAATAAGAAAGGACTCTGGAAGATTATTTGCTTTAGTGGGTTATGGAGACTAATATGTACTTGTTTAGAAATTAAAATTTGTATATTACTTCAGTGGTCTCTTCATTTTGAGTCTGAAAATCTGTAATAACTTTGTGGCTTTGAAAGACCTCATCATATCCACACTCAAGCTCTCTGATCCTTTGCTGCCCTGAACTGAGCAGCTTTCCCCATTGGGCCTTTCCCCCATGATGGACTTGGGCAGAGCAATGGAGTCAGCCATCTGACTGAGACTTCTGGAACTGTGGGCCCCAGAGAAGTTTTTCCTTCTCCAAGTTGTTCTTGTTGGGTGTTTTGATCACAGAGACAATAGAGCTAATGAAATCACAGCCATACATCATTGTACCCAGATGTATGGCGTGCACGTGCACACTCACACAGGAGAGTAGTGCTAGGAGCTAAACCAAATCTTTGCACAGGCTGGAGAAGCTCTCTTCATGTGCACATCCCATCCCCGGGGTGGGAGTTTCCTGGCCTAACCAGCTGTCAACAATGTCACATTAATGTTGAATAGTCAACAGGAATTTTGAAGGGATACACACATTCAAACCACAGAATGAAATAAACTACATCCCAGGGAGTTGGTTCCAACTAGATATGCCCTGTGCAACCCAGAGGACATTAGATAGAAACTCAGATCTTGATGAAGAAAGAAAATCCCTGGTAAAGCAAATTCATGACAATTWAAAAAGCTAGTGCTACTGTTGTTTTCTACAAGAAGTAAGAGAATAATGTATCAAAACACCTCAACTTTATTCTACAGTAAAAAAATACCTTATATAACACTGTAACATCAGTAACTGAAGGGGAAGGGCTGGAGAGTTATAGCAGCCACATCTGCACACCACTGAAGTCATGTTGCTATAGATTTATATCACAGTGGCATGTCTTTCTCATGTTAAATAGGACCTCCCCATGGGAACCACAAAGAAATTCTAGTAGAGCACACCCAAAATGAGAGGTAAGGGAATCAAAATGTTTCAATACAATCATCAACTAAATAGGAGGGAAGATAATCATATAACAAAGCAAGTCACATTGAATCAAAGCTTGTGCTGCTCTCCTCATAAAGGACACAAGCCATTGGAGCTGGAGTTGTGGCTCAGTGGTACAGAGCTTGCCTGGCACGTGTAAAACACTGGGTTCAATCCTCAGCACTACATTAAATTCATAAATACATACAAACATAAATAAATGCATTAAAAAAAAAAAAAAAAAGGACACAAGCCATGCTGAATCAAGGCCCTCCCAGCTGTCCTTATATAGACACAAGCCACACTGAACCAAGGGCCCAGCCCTGATCTCCTTATAAGGACAGAAACCACACTGAACCAAGAGCCATGATAAACATCAAACTCCGGCACATGTCAAAACTTCCAGGCTATAAGCATTTCTCCAAGCCTATGAACTTTCTGAAGTGAGAACAGGGACTGGATCTTCTTTAATTTTCAATGCCCAGTGCCTGGTATAAAATTTAACACCTAAGAGTTTTTCACTTAATTTTGGTTAATTGTTTCTTTTTGGCTGACTGGGTGGGTGGGTAGATAGATGGACAAATAGACAGATGGACAGATCAATGAGTAGGTGGTGGTATGGATGGATGGCAGGAAGGAAGGAGGAATGGTTAGACGAATGGTTATGATACCAGTCTTGAAAATCAGGATGGGGTCCTTGATCCCCTGGTGTTGAAGATTAAACACCCACGAAATGCCGAGGCAAGTTTCAATAGATGAATGGATTAAAAAATGTGGCATTTATACACAATGGAGTATTACTCTGCATTAAAAAATGACAAAATCATRKAATTTGSAGGGAAATGGATGGCATTAGAGCAGATTATGCTAARTRAAGCTAGCCAAKCCCTAAAAAACAAATGCCAAATGTCTTCTTTGATATAAGGAGARCAACTAAGAACAGAGTAGGGAGGAAGAGCATGAGAAGAAGATTAACATTAAACAGGGACRAGAGGTGCGAGGGAAAGGGAGAGAGAAGGGAAATTGCATGGAAATGGAAGGAGACCCTCATTGGTATACAAAATTACATACAAGAGGAAGTAAGGGGAAAGGGAAAAAAAAAAAAACAAGGGGGAGAAATGAATTACAGTAAATGGGGTAGAGAGAGAAGATGGGAGGGGAGGGGAGGGGAGGGGGGGATAGTAGAGTATAGGAAAGGCAGCAGAATACAACAGACACTAGTATGGCAATATGTAAAACAGTGGATGTGTAACCAATGTGATTCTGCAATCTGTATACGGGGTAAAAATGGGAGTTCATAACCCACTTGAATCAAATGTGTGAAATATGATATGTCAAGAACTATGTAATGTTTTGAACAACCAATAATAAAAAGAAAAAAAAAGAAAAAAGAAATACTGAGGCAAGAGCAAAAGGTAAATTTTATTTAAGAAACAGAACTGGGAGGGGGTGGGGAGGGAGACTCCTACAGAGAGGAGGGGACCCAGAGCTGGTGCCCAGGGGAGTGGATATGTCTTGCTCCTTTATAAATTTTAGGTTCCTTTCTTCTCATGCCTACATGACCAAAAGGCAGGAAAAGAGCAGCCCAGGGGCTGATGGCTTGTGTTGGAAAGTGCAATCCTTCCCCTCCTCCAGAGGTGTGAGCAACAGGTTGATGGGGAAGTGCTATCTACTTATTTTTTTCTTTGATAATCAGCTATCTGCCCTTTGCCCCTGACTCAATCAATTGGCAGGCTGGTTAGATGAATGGATGAGAGGATGTAAAGTGTCTAGAGCAGTGCTTGATACATATAATAAATCRCAACTGTATATTTCTATTGTCTTACAGAATATAAAAACCTTATTTTCATATATTGAAACATTTGTGTCTAAAAATTTCCACTCATTTAACCTATTTTAATACTGTTTTTCTCATGATATAAAAAATATACACATTGTGTCATGTTGTGCAGAGAACCCAACTACAAATGCATTCTGCATAAAACCTGCTACCTTATGTTACACTGCTAAGCATTAGTCTTTTAAAAAAAAACAAACAATTATTTGGCTTGAACTGAAATAAACAGATAGGCTTTTTCCTCAAGGACAAAGCCTTTTTTTTTTTTTTTTTTTTTGTACTAGAGATTGAACCCAGGGGAGCTCTACCACTGAGCCACATCTCCAGCCCTTTTTATTTTTTATTTTGAGACAAGGTCTCACTAGGTTGCTTAGGGCCTTGCTAAGMTGCTGAGGCTGGCTTTGAACCTGAAATCCTCTTTCCTCAGCCTCCCAAGCTGCTGGGATTACAGGCATGCACCACTGCGCCCGGCACAGCACTCCTTCTCCTTAGGATCATGTCCACTGACCTTAAAGCTTCTTATGGAGTGCATCAGTGCCACAGGGCAGAGTGGTCTACACACAAAGAGGTGTGCTACAGCACAGTTCGTAATAAAGGGCCAAGATAATGCCCAACATTAGGAAACAAGTTAAAGAAACTATGAAATAAAGTAACACTGTTCAGGGAAAATAAAGTAACACTCAGAAAGATGAGGCAGTCTATTCCCTGCAATGAAAGATTCTCCAAATATATTAGTTTACATAAAAATGACAAGTCTGGTATAGTAATACTGCCTACAGGCCCAGCTACTCAGGAAGCTGAGGCAGAAGGACTACTTGAGTCCAGGAGTTCATGGACAGCCTGGGCAACAAAGCAAGATTCCATCTCTAGGGGGAAAAAAAATGCCTATTTGTCATCTACCAGGGTGGCAAAAATCAAGAAATTTGATAACCCAGGAAGAAAAATATAAGAAACATTGTACTGCCAGTTAAATTATAAATTAGTGCCACCTCAACTAACAGAAATTCAACAATATTAAATTAAAAGTGGAGTTGGAGACAGCTCAGTGGTAGTACTTGCCTAACATTCAAGAGGCCCTGGGTTCAAGGACCAGTTAAAAAAAAAAAAAAGAAAGAAAGAAAGAAAGAAAGAAAGAGAAAGAAAGGAAGGAAGGAAGGAAGGAAGGAAGGGAAGGAAGAAAGGGAAAGAAGGAAGGAAGGAAGGAAGAAAGAAAGAAGAAAGAAGAAAGAAAGTAAGTAAATATGCCATTTCTAGGAGTTTATACTACAAATATACTCACATCTATGATTTATGCCTATCAAATTATTAATCTGACAAATAGGGTTCAAACCCAGGTCAATCTGTTCATTGTCTGTTGCTCTGCACTGTGTAGTAAAAAGACTACAAGCACACACAATGAATGCCAACACTGGTTATCGATAGAAATGGGATAGTTAGAGAGATCAGTAGAATTCTAAGTGATACATACTTAACAGACATTTTAAAATCTGTTCYCAGAGCTCAAGACTTTCCAGTACCTGTATTAACTGAGATGCCTTCACCTGCCAGCTCAGCCTCCACAGGCATGGAACTGCTGGCTGGGGCACCCCTGCCTCTGTCCTTGTCTTCATGGTCACTGTCCTCATCCTCACTGCTGCTGTAGTAGTACTGCAGTTTCTCCCCCAGCAACTTGTCATCCAGGGTTGTCATGATGCCTGGAAGAAGGCAACATATCAGGCTTTTTGTGGGCTTAAGCATGAAGTCATGAATCTGAAGAATAGGGGACCCACTTGGGCTAAGATCCTATAGGAACCTAAAAATTATTTTTTTTCCTAAATAGAATCTCAACAAATCCCTACCATGACAGTGATAGAATTTATTATGTTCTTTTGTAGAAGGTAAAACTGAGGTTCAGATAAGGGAAGTTACTTTCCCAAGCTTTCCAGAATGTGGTGGAGTGGTAACAGGCCCCAGGTATGCCTTACTCGTGTAGCCTGAGGGATGAGTTACTGTCTTCTGAATATTGTACTAGTATCTATTGTTCCAAAGTAGAACCTGTGTTTACATTACTGACTTGTGATTTTATCTATGCTTAGTTTCAGTTTRCCTACCAAGTAATTAGTAATTGAAAACTTCAGTAAGAATCCTCAGGAAATAYTTCAAAAGGGATCATAAAAAGTGTGATGCTGGGGACTGAGGTTGTGGCTTAGTGGCAGAGTGCTTCCCTAATAGTGTGAGGCACTGGGTTCCATCCTCAGTGCCACATGAAAATTAATTAAATAAAGATATCATGTCCATTTACAAATATAAATATATATTATATATATATATATATATATATATATATGTATTTTTTTAAAGTATGATGTTGAATCTAAGTCAAGCCGTCTCACTGCAAACTTGGATGGTCTCCAAAGCCCTACTAATTCTGACTAGTTAAAACTAGTGTCGATGCCAAGATTTTAATAAAAACCAAGTATTTAAAGGACCACAAAGCCAGTGTTCTGCATCACAAGCAGCCAAAGGCATTTTTGGGGAAAGTGCAGTTTAGCCCCTTTACAGGCTTGTTTGAGGATCCAACAGGAATAGTTAAAAAAGGAAAAACAAAAACAAAAAACGCCTAACCCTTTAGTATTTCTTCCTCAAAGCATCCCGACATTATGCTGTCTTCATGAAGACTTCTCACAGGGCCTGTTACACTTCATTACAAAATGACTCTCTCCCACAGGCTGAGAGAGCTCTGGAAAGAAGAAACATCCAACAACTAATCCCTATCTCCAACACCCAGCAAAATGCCCCAAAGGATGATGAATCACTGAATCCCGCGACCCCCACAGTCAGACCGGGAGTATGGTGCAAAGGAAGCAAGACTAATTAAGAGAAAGTGCAGGTTCTAGGGAGGAGCAGAACCAAACTTAAGGGAAGTGGGCAAGCCAGGAACCGGACAAAAAAAAACCGCCTGAGGGTAGAGAGCGACCTAAAGGAGCCGCGCCCGCTCACAGCACAGACAAAGGAGGGTGCAGAGGGGAGGCGGGACCGTGTAAGGGAGGAGGCGAGGGGCGGACCAATGAGACGTGGCGAGGGCGGGGTCAATGGGGAGGCCGGGGTGAGAAGGCGGGGCCAGCAGAGGGGAGCGCAGAAAAGGCGGGGCTGCTGAAAAGAGCGCAAGGGGGCGGAGCCGGTTGAGGGGTGAGCGAAGGAGGCGGGGTCCCCGGAAAGGCGGCAGAGGGGTGCGCCAAGCCTTGGGAGATCCTGGAGAAGGCCGAGGGGAGGTTGGGGTCGGGAGAGAGGTGAAGCAGGGAAGTGGCGGGGTCCGTGGGAGACTCGAAGACAAGGCAGTTTTATCGAGGCTCGCAAACCACCGTTCCACCCATATTCCACGCCCATCGCTTCCTCCCGGCTGACCCCAGTGCATTTACCCGGACTAGCTCAGTCTGGATCCCTTTGGGCTAGCAGCTCCGGGCACCAGAAAGAACGGAGCGCTGACTTAGAGGAAGAGAAGTGGGTCGGCGCCCAGAGCACCCAAGAGAAAAGCTGCCGGAGTCCTGACTGCGCGGACCAATGAGGCGGCCCTCCTGCGTCATGGCGGACGCCGCGGCCCAATTAGAAGAAGCTTCTCCTGGCGGCTGAGGGAGAAACTACAGGTCCTAGTTTAGGACAAATTACCTGGACAACTTTAATACGCTTGTTTGTCTTGTTTATGTTTTGCTCGGACATACACATACACACACACACACACACACACAAACTGAATATATACTCCCAGCTTTGAACGAGGAAAAAATATTTTCTCCCCTCAAAAGTTCCATAGCCAATCCAAAAAAATTTTTAAACAGCTTCATTACATCTATTGAGCGGTAAATTGAGTCAGAGACATTAAATGACAGCCATTAAGTCAGAAATTAGAATAAAACTAAAAAAAAAAAAAAAAAAAAAAAAAAAAACAAGGCTATGACACGTAAACGTAACATGAAATCCTGGATTGGGATCCTAGGACTGAAAAAGAATTAGAATGGGACAACTGATGAAATTTGCATAATATTA